ACCATTAAAGACAACCCTCTTTCTAATGCAAATCAAAGTCAAGCAGTAAGTTTGAATTAGCTGCAATCAGTCTACGAATACAAAGTTAACAAAAATGGAGATACAATGACAGGCCACTTAACTTTTACCGGTGGAACTAAAATAACCGGTTTACCAACAGACTTTCCTCCAGTTAATATAAGAAGTGCGTTAACGCCTTATTTACGTTTTGTCATGCGGAGCGATGACCGGTAGCGTAGACTTGGGCGGCAAGTTGATTTTTACATCATGCAGCTTGACAATACACCTCTTGTAAAAAGAAAAAACAATTTCGTAAAATTATCCGGAGATACGATGTCTGGCGCATTGGACTTAGGCAGCAACAAGATAACAGCAACATACGTTCCCACAAATTCATTGGACCTAATTTTAAAAAAAATACATAGACAGCGCTGTTGCAACTGCTAGCGGTACAATAAAATGATAAAAAAATAACGTCGGTCAAATTCCAACGTTGATTGACACAACTAATAATAGGTGGGGATTTATTGCAACAGCGTCTACGTAATACTTTGGTAATAATCCGACTCACGCGTTTCTGTTTAGTTTTGTGATAAGCGACGGTTAGGAATGGACAAGAAACCGAGAGACTTCTGTTACTTATCGGCTCGTTTGAAGTAACATAAGAAAAGAGCGAAGACAACAAGCTTTGTATATTTTAACAAACATAATTTATTTCCCTAGAAAACACGGTGAAAATGTAAAAATATGAAACAAGACTTACGATTTACCATGAAGATTCTAAAATGTATCCTAAAATTGTGAAAACACATAAGTCATGTGACTAAACAGTTCTAAATTGGCGTAGTCTGAATCTCAATTCCGTTCAAAAAATGGCGCAGACAAAGATTGACACAAACGTCCAGAATTTTCACTGTGAATCACAATTTGTATTGCTCTATTCCTGATAGAAATGATTTCAGCAAATATTTTTTGTCCAAAGCCAGTTGGGTAGTTCTCCTGGTAAATAATTTTATTTAGAAGGCGCATGAAGTACAGCTATAGTCAGTAACAAAATATATGTTATTCTTTATACTTACGAACGAACAACTCTTTCCAGCACATAGATACATTTTCCTTAAGGTATTAGAATCTCCATAAGAGGTTCTAATTCATTTTTCTTAAGGTGTTAGAACCTCTATAAAATGTTGTGACTCTCCAAGAGTTTAAAATATGACTTACGACTATAACTGACTATTTCGCAGGTACATGTGTATTTAAAGCAAACTAATACGTCCACCTATGCACACGCATGAAGAAATCATGAAGATTTTTAAATATCGGCAACGTATTACAGAATGTCAACAAATATTATTGACAATGGCACACTCAATAATTTACGTAGCTATTTCCGAATGTTTACTTAATATGACAAAACAGTCACACAAAAAAAAAATCGTGCTTACATGAGTCCCATTTACGTTTTAAACTACATTTAATTATATAAAAATGAAATAAAAATACAACAGAAAGAATTAAAAGAATTCAAATTTTAACACACATGTAATATAACTAAAGGGTCGTAACGCTTCGAACATCTGGATTAAAGTACAATGTTCGGTTGCGGTTGCGATTGGACAGTTTCACTTGCGAGGTTGGCTATGTTGTGGTGTTTGGCGGATCTACAATTGGCGATTAGAAGGATCGTCTGACAATACAACTTGGACAACGTTGTACTGCACAACTAATACGAACGTTAGTAATCCAGTTCAATTTACGCTTGCTACTGCCAACACAGTAAACTAGTCAAAGTATTTCAGAATATTTGTTGTTGCAGCTGAAAGGCCGTCTCCTGGTTTTACCGCATTTTAAATATATACCGTTGATGATTTAATGTAACGCAAAAAATGAGATGACGCGACAAGCGACCTAATTTTAACAGTCGCTACAGAAGTTTACGATAACATTATCAATTCGAATTAATATATCTATGTTACTGATTTTAGACATATGATTTGTTCTGATAATATACTTGAGACAGTTGCTTTAAACGATATTAAAAAATGAAAAATTTAAAATTAGAATCACTAAACGATATCAACGTAAAGTTGACGGAAAACGAAAACAACTTTGTACGGGTAATAGAAACACGAGGCCAACAACTAAAAGATGATATCAAAGATTTTGATGTAATTAGCAAGCACTGCCATCCTGATGATTGTTGTGAAGAACAATAGAAAATTGGAAAGCTTTTGAAAAATGCGTTCCTCGAGCCAACTAAAGAAAATACGGTTTTGATGAACAGATCCAATCTGATAAAAACAAGAGCGCATGGTAGAAAGGTAGTTGAACGAGATCGAATAAAACGTGTGCATGATGACCTTGAAAAGCTTGCAGAATCAAAGCGAGGAAAATTATCAAAAGATACAAAGTTGAGAGATGGGTCTTTGAAACGCGAATTTGGTATGGACTATCATGATACAAATACATTGCTTAAAATTGCACGTGATAGAGTATCTGATGCAGAACTGATGATAAAAACATACGCTAACGCAATGTTACCAATATTGGACGATGAAATTAATTTTGATCCGATTATCGTCAATAAATCACTAAAAGTAATTGAGATGTTAATTCTGAAGTTAAGTCGTACAGTGATTCTAAAAATGTTTTATTTTTAGTATAATTGAATCATTAAACATTCATAGAAAATGTGATTCGTACTATGAAATTAGCGAAGCTTCAGATGTTCCATTACCATCACTCTAACGCTCTAGGAAACTGCTAATACGAGATTATTACAGTGAAATCGAAACAATACATACACAAACGTATCGCAGATTATTGGTAAGAATGGTTTATTTCATTGGACCAAATGGAACAAAAAAAACAGTATTAAGCATTTAATGCTATCAAATTTTGCAACATCGTATGCAATTCTTAGACAATATGTTGTTCTTAAGAATTTTACGTGAAATGAAATCAGCTTGGTAACTGGGTTATTGATGAAACAGGAACATATTAAGCGCATTTAGTAAAATGAGGCAAACCTGTGTACATGCTTCTAAAATAAACAACAGATTTGATTCATACAGCTAGTTAAGAAAATAAGAAATATTAACGGATGATAGATACAAACATATTTCACAAGTACAGACATTTTCTTGCAGATCCTATAAACAATACGTTTCGTCAACTTTTCTTGATCAAATTGTTGGTGTGACAACGTTTACTGTGATGTAAAAATAATGACAAACCAAATCATCGGCCTCACCCATATGTTGGAAGATATGCCAAAAAGAAACGAACTTGCTGCGCTAATGCAATACTGTAAGTTTTATCACAAAAAAAACCTGGTGTTTAGAACGATATTACAAGTTCTACGGCAGAATCTTGCGATTTATTTCTTCCGGTTGCTTTGATGAGTTCTGGTATAATCTATAGAGTTAAATCTATTTTCCTTGATAATTTCTGGTGTTGGTGCCTTATTAACGACCATGTGCAAGAAATTATAACCACGATTTGAGACCAAAAATGTGCGTGTAAAGCTGCAAGTGTCACGTATAAAAAGTTGTTGGATCAAATCAGATCTTATCCCCCACGCATCAAATATGATACGGACGATACAATCAGGCAGTTTCGGTTTATTGGCAGTATGTTGACTGACATCCTGCCAAAGCGAGTTGAGAAATATGAATACCAAATAACATATCAAGCTGAATGTGCTAGCTCTAGCTGAGCGGACTTAACTCAGGTATAATATTTTGTCTAAACTTAAGTATAATGTTCCAAACATTGACAGTTGCAGATGAAAATTTAACAAATACGTTAAAATATTTTTTGTAAACAATAAACCATTTACCATGACAAAAGAAGATGAAATTGGCAATAATTATCATTCTGATTTGTTATTTGATTTTCGCCGAATTTATTTACATCGTTCTGATGGTTCTTAATAAATTAACGACCGTGTTAAAAAATAGTTGGATAACGTTTTAGATGTAATTAACGTCAAAGATAAAGAAATTGAGGTGCGTGGAGATGATTCAAAATTTTAAAAAAACTGGTACCAAACAAATGTAATCTCCCACACCTCCCGCCAATAATGATTTTTATTAATAAAAAGAGAGTTCGGTTTATGGGAAAATGATAATTATCCAATAATAAAAATGGATAAAAATTTAATAAGCAATTTGTGTACGTGTAAAAAAAAGTTAACGGAAAATAAAACTGGTTCTGTGCAATTTATATGGTAAATTATTTATTCAGACATTAACTGTGACACTGACAATTGACGAAGAAGTTTAACATCAACAACAATTAATGATAATAGTAGATGATTCTAGGGTGTTTATGGCGCAAAGACCCTAAAATTTCTCAGGATAATACAAACATCAAACAAAAGACCAAAATAAATCACCAAATATTGCCCGACCAGATCCACGAAAAAGTAGGGGTAGGGAGGTGTTTGTGGAAAGGGGTCTGTGGGTGAATATTTGTATTTATCCTGGGAAAATTAGGGTCTTTGCGCCAAAAAACCAAGAATCATCTACAACTTCAGTCACTTCGGCATGATACATATTTTATATAATGTCTGGTATATATTGTGCATGATATCTTTGTTATTCTGTATGCTACTGTTGCCTTATCGGTCGAAATATATTTCAAAAGCTGCATAAATCACACAAGGTCCAAAATTCAGTCAGTACCTGTTCCACGGCAATAGAGGTGCTAAATGAACCTTTTGAAGAATCATTCCATTTTTTAAATATAAATAAGTTTGACAATCAAATTAACAAATGCCCTCAATCTAATCGTAGTGACAATTTTATTTTTATTTACGTCTAATCACGCTGTTGTGAAAACTACTATAAATTTCAATTATTTATCGTATGAAGTATATGCACAGTCATTTAACAAAGTTAACGTCACCAAGATGTAGAGCATGCAGTCAACCAGGGAAACTTTGACAGTGGGCAGTTGTTCATAATGTGTGACATGGTTTGTAGAGCACCACATCTGACCGCTCCAGTGGCCAAGTGTTTAGAGCGTCCGCCTTGGATGCGAGAGGTCGTGGGTTCGACCCCCGGTTGAGTCATACCAAAGACTTACAAAAATGGTACTAACAGCTGCCTTGCTTGACGCTCAGCATTAAGAGGTTAGTGTTATGAGTGGTCGGCCTGGTGTCAGGATAATGTGACTGGGTGGGACATCATACTACATGTCTGCGACATGATGCCCCAGTGCTAGACATCACTATAAACTGCCACACTGCAGACATCGTAGGGATATGGCTGAAAGATTGTTAATGCTACGTTAAAAGTCATAATCACATCACCTCACAGCTACAGGAAAAGTCAATTGACAGGCCCCGTCGGACACAGCTGATTGCACAACGACCCTGATCTGTTGGCAAAAGGTTCAGCTTGGTCCACAGATGTCGTGGAAGGTTGACGCCAGGAGGGCAGACAGATGGTTCAGCTACGAGTGAGTGGTTTACGGCATCTGTTAAAGACCACTATGCCGAAATAGCAGTCATATCCTCCGGCAACGGATATAACCAGATTGGACGTCTCGAAACCAAGTGGACTGATGGAAATGAAGTTGATGTCCATGTACAGTAGAAGTTTCTCACTTCAAAAACTTTAATGTTAACCGTAAAAGACTGGTTAGAAACTCACTTAAACTATGTAATTATATGTAATTTTTCTTTATAAGTAACTTCTCTACAAAATTGTTTTTTGTTAAGAAATTTCTAATTACAGAATATTATCTTCGTTTTATTGATATTGTTAAATCTACCACTGATATATGTAGACTATATGTAAACTAACTTATCGATGAGCTATTATTAAGTCTTATGATGTCCTTACGGGTGTAGATTAATTGAACAATTAGGTATCCTTGTGTCTGATTGATGTCCTTACGAAAGTCATTAATAATTGTCAGTGATTCTTATTGTAATTCAGCGACCAGTTAATAATGTTACTTATGATCAACAAAACAACGTTTATGCCCAAATAAAAAGCACAATGTCTTTTGGGGATTGGGGTTGTTGGCTGGGGGGAAGGGGGCAGGAGTTTGTAGTTCAACTTCTTGACTTTTGCGTCGGATGACAAAGTGAAATGGCTAGATTCTTCCAGTTAGGGAAAGGTCACTCGCACTAAGCACTCGTTTAATTAAATTGCATCGAATATTTGAGTCTTTTTCCCTTCGTGATGATGCGTTTAAGTCATTGCTTTATGATAGTCTTCGTGTTGTTGAAGCTGTAACTAATTTATTGGATTTCATTCAAAACAAAGAAAAGAAAGAAAATAAATATATAGAGAATCTGATCATTACCTGAATACTTCTACCGTGAATCCTGCCGAGTCCACCACAATGATCGACTTGAACATTTGGTATTAGTCGTTATTATTTATAAAATAGAACCAACATCAAAATCTCTCACCCCCTCCCCACATGTATATGTCGTTCTTATTTGTTATAAAGGTACAATACATCTCTCATTTTTGCAAGTTGTAATTTACATTTTGCACAATATCATTACACATGCCTATGCTGCAAGTAACTCTCTCTCTCTCTCTCTCTCTCTCTCTCTCTCTCTCTCTCTCTCTCTCTCTCTCTCTCTCTCTCTCTCTCTCTCTCTCTCTCTCTCTCTTTTTACTGTAAGTTTGCATAAAATATAACATGCTAATCAATAAAATCATTTTTTTTAAAAAGAAACTTTGGTGGTTAGGATTAGGGATAGAGTCGATGTTATTACTTGGGGTTATGATTTGTTGGATTAGGATTAGTACTGAACCCTTTCTCTGTGAAGAAAATACCGCTGGGCATTGAGGTTGTTTTGTATCGAGTATAATACGTTGCTTACGATCGAGACACTAGAAGCTTAAAAGTGTAACTTTAGCCAGCATGATATTTTACAATAACTGGAAAAATAAATACATTCATTGAAAGGCTACTTATTTCGATCTTTTAATATTTATTTTATTTCTATTTTATTTGTTGAAATTAATTTTGAAGAGTAGAATTTGAAGCTAGCTATTTTCCAATTAAGAAAATAAGATTACTTCCATGCGCACTGGCTCTTGTTACTCGGATGTTAGCACATTTAAATCAATTACCAAACAATCAAGTCAAAGTTTGTTGACCTTTGTGTCGCTTATTGCTGCTTGACATAGTGAGCGAGGGTCAACATAATGTTCGTAATTGCAGATGCTTGTGCGTAAGATGGGGATAATTAACGTTAGAAAATAGGGTAATTGCAGTGGCAGGAAGTGAAAGTGCACATCATTTGTTGTTGCAAAAAAAGTTTGCATGTTGGTGTTGTAAATGGATAAGGTCTGACCTCCGTAGTTGCTTTAACTTGAACAAAACGTGTAAAGATTCCGATAACTTATACAACAAATGGATATTAAGGTAAGTGACTAAAGACCGCAGCTCATATATACATTTTTGTTGCTGTTTTATATTACACAAAATGTTTAGCTTTACTAATGAAAATATTTGTTAAATCTTCGGTGATCAAATGACACCATAAAGTCACTTTTGTTACTGTATTATTATGTTATATGGACCTGTGTCAAAGAACCAAAATATTTCAAATACATGTATTGGAAATTACAATGTATATCATATTTTGTTGCTCATCACATAATTCAAACTAATCCAATTCATAAGAAACATGGACGATATTTATTATGTGCGATATCACTGTCAAATAATTTGCGTGCTAGATGACATTTTGTTGAAATGGTTCATCCCCTTTAAAATAGTTAAGGGACGAGACTAAACCACAAAAGGGGCTAAGATTTCATTATTGTCTCCGTGTAAACTAAACTGCCTTCGAGGAAAGTTGCTCCTTAACGGGATTTGATTGGCTAGTTTGTCTAATGTTACAGACTGACAGTCGCATACTGAGGATAAATATCAACTGATTTATCATGTAACAATATTTACTACCCCCAGAGTCTAGTCTAGAAAGGTTTCTCGGTGGTCGATAAAGTCTATATTTCGATACAACTCCGATCGTCTAATGATGGTAGGTACTTTACTGCTCGCGCGATACTGGTAGACAATAAAAAAAAGTTTCATCTCTTTGAGCAATCACATAAAACTGCATAAAATACCAAACCTACGGTTGTAGTCTTAATGGTCTATTCTAAAACTGAGCCTTTATGAGATTGGGTAATAAAACTAAGTCGCACTCGCACTTGAGCAATTGCTATAGCCTTAATTCTTAGTTTAGAAAACGATATCATACATTATTTATTTTAGTTAATTTAGCTGTAAATAATTATTGGAATGATCATCTTTGCAGGTTGTAATTTCGGTCTACATTCTGAATTTTATCAATAAACTTGCCTCTGCTGCAAGTTTGGAACCGTACCGGAACTATGGTATAATAGTTGATGCTGGGAGCAGTAGTACTAAGGTGCGGATATATTCCTGGTCTGAAGTACCAAATAAAAACATGATCCCGCTGATTGCTGAAATACCAAACCAAAAGAAATTCGAACCAGGGATAAGTGCATTGGAGAATGAAGTCGGTGGAGTTTTTAATTACACTTTCTCTATACTTGAATACATTAATGACTCTATTCCCGAAGAAAAACGTAAAACTACAAGACTACATTTTATGGCCACAGCAGGTACGTTTTATCTGAGAAACAAAATTACTTTAAAATATATTTAATAGACACTCACCTGCGGTCAGTGTTACACACGTTTTGAAGTCCAAAAGCGTATGTTGAGAATATCGTGTCCATATTTTGTTTTAATTCTAACATGACAACTGAACAAAGAGTTTTGTTTATTTTGATCAAATTATGTTAACCCAGTACTATATAGAAGACGAGTGTCAAATTCTATAATGCAATGACGTTTCGTTCACTCAACTGAGAGAATCTGCAGCTGCACACATGCAAGTTCAGACTACTATAAATTTTCATTCTGTCTGAAATTTTAACGTTATATCATGTAGATCGTAGAGCTTGGTGACACGTGACCTCAAAAAAGGAATATATTTTTTTCTTTTCGATACATTTACGGGAAGGCTAAAGGGATTCCTATTACACTTATAGAATTTATAAAAATATTCTGCGTCATCTTGAAATATATATATCATACATATTTCGTATAAAAATTATATATTTTATTATTAATTTATCTCTTTAATTTTTGTGCATTTAAGAGGGAAATAAAACTGTATCTAACCCCTAGATTTCAGCGGTTAGTCACTCAGTCATCGGTTTATATAAGTATATTGATACGCTATTAAAAAATTCCTTTGAGTCATACAGAATTTATAAACAAAATATTTTCATAAGGACTCAAACTTTTCAAAAAATGACGTAAGTAAACAATTCGCCTGAACAACCATTTGATATTAACGTGAACCTTGTTTTGAGATTCAATTACAGCGATTTTCGTTGAATTGTGAAGGGAAAAAGTGTATGTACATGTAGTTTAATTGTTAGATTTGCTGGTTCAAGTGTTAATACAAAAGCAAGCATTTCTGTAGGATTCTTGTACATTTTTGATTAAGGTGGTTCCGGTTTATGGGAGAAGCAACACATTGGGAGCATTTTTGTGGGACTAGATTCCCGTTCCGCGTGACTGAAATCATCCATTTTAATCGGATCCTGTCATTCACTCAGCCTTTCAATTTTACTAACCGTTCCCCCATGTGTCACTCCCACCTCTTCTGGAGTACCACCGCCACAACAAAATGATTTATGTAACTTTCTGCAGCAAACGTGAGTTCTTTTGTTACCTTGTTTCTAGAGGTATTCGCAAAACAGCCAGGTTGCTTTGTTTCAAAATTACTTGCACTTAGTTTGTTAATTCGAAAATAATTTTATCATTAAAACATGAAAAATCTATCATCTGAAAAAATAAGTAAATATATAAACATAATATTTGTGATATATCCTTTGTCTCAATACGATAACTTGAAGAGGTCCTTAAATTATCAAAGCCAGACAGCCTTATTGCGATAACCTTGAGTAAATAGCCTTTTAAGGATGACATCGAGTAAATAGCTTCAATGGGATAACGTCGAGCAAATAGCTTTATGATGATGACCTTGAGTAA